AGAGAGCCATTAGCTGCTGGATGGACAAGCCATGCATATTTATTCTTCCTTCATGTTCAACAAGAAGTTCGAAGATGGCTCGCATTGCGGAGTCATTCGACACGTTGGTGTGCGGTGCGGTAACGTCGAAAGACCCCATCGCGTACGCGTTATTAGGAGACGCGTTACGTAGACGTTCTAGGAACATTTGGGTGTTTGTGAGGTGAGCTGGAATGTGGTTAAGCAACTGGGTAAGTATCAGGCTTAAAAACCAGGTTATTCTATCCGTTGGCCCGTCTACACAGCTGATGATCGGTCTAACCTTAAATGATGACGGATTGGTTGACCCTTGATCATCAGGTGATACCAGCTTATGTGTTTTAATAAGTAGGTATAGGACGGGACATGTTGGTTTATCGATTCTAAAATGCGAAATAACCGATGATTTTAAACCCGCAGCCTTTGCCACGCTGAGCTATTGATTGTTTAGTTTTCGGTATTGACTTTTATATTCCTTTTCAGAGATAGAGAGTAGCATCACTAAGATGTTCCTCTGTTATCTCAACATCCAGCTGGCGAGGAATAACTACGAACTCTCCCCCCTTATCACTAACAGACAATCATATTGTTTTCGAGTTTATTAATTCTCTAACTTTTCGCATGCCACATTTTTGTGCGGCTGTAAGGTTAGAGATAAACTTTCTACCGCGGTAGTGATCAAGGGTCTTTAGAATGCCGTTCGAAAACACACGGAATTTTATGTCAACTCCATCGTTAGGGTCCTGCTGTCTAAAAGACGTTTTAGGGAGAGGAGATGGTGGTAGTGTCGCCGCCTCTTGATTTTTATCTATTTGATGTTCCTTGCTTGGCCTGATAGCGGAGTCGATCTTGAAGCTCATAAAGGTTGCATGCTATTCTACGCAGGGTCGTTTTAGAAATGGGCTGTGATGGTGCAAAACTTGGGCCCAATTCTAATAGCGAGCGCGCATTCTCACGTATTGTTATGCCCCCAATCATGGTGACCCTAGATTTTCTTGGTGCAATATCAGTCCTTTATGTATCCGTATAATAGAACACCTAGATCTCTAACGAAGAGAAAGGAAAAGTGACCCACTAGGCACGCATAGTATACAACAGCATAGCGGAGACGATTTTGATATAAAAGTCACTATTCTTGCACAGAAGACTTAAGCGTCAAAGCGCAAATTCCTCGAGGCTTGTTGACTAAAGCCAAGAGTCCTACAATGAATAGTAGGGATGAATGCCCATCATCTCGCTTAACAGATGGCATAATATAGGGCACGTTTGGCGCAGTTGTCGGAGGTGCCCCGCAACACACCCACATACACACACACACACACACAGACACACACAGACACACACACACCCACATACACACACACACACACCCACCCACATACACACACACACACTCACACACACACTCACACACACACACACATACATACATACAAACACTACACACATAACATGCACACACCGCATGTACACGCCACATACACACAGATACACACACATAAGCACATACAAAGATACACACGTACACACATACACACATACATACGCACACACACATACACACATGCACACACATCACATGTACCACAGGTGTGAGCGATTCGCTGGTCAGTCGTTATTTGGCACATCATTGATGTCTCTGCTTAATCCTGTTTGTCTTGCTCATGAATGGAATGTGTAATGGTTTAATAAATTGGAGCAGATTTTGGTTCCATCTCTGATACGCACAAAGTTTTAGTGCAAGATCTTCTTCTTACTTTTATTGTCCACAAAGAGAAGAGATTTGCAGCTCGACATACTTCGTCGGGGCAGAAACTTCCGCCGTGGCACTTAAGAGGTGGGATTTCGAATGGAAATATCGATTTGTTTTCAGTTTCAGAGTACTTCCCTGACCAACAAATCCTCGTTTTATAACGTAGTTCCATATCCAGGAACACTTTTTCACGATGAGATGGTTAATTATTATAAAGTCCTACCTCATCATAGTTACCTTTTATTGAAAAGATGACTTTAATTGCTATTTTTCAACTCAGGGCGAGGTTGGACACTTCGGAACTTGGCGTTGCAGTATGTAAAGGAGAACTACTACAATCATCGAGAAGCAGTGCTTTATTTTTCCAATGATGACAATTTCTATGATGTCCGCTTATTTAACGATTACATCCGTAAAGTGAATAGGATTGGAGTGTGGGCAGCAGGTTTGTTGATAATTGTTACCTGAAATCTAGAGTCAAGTAAAGCATAACAGTGAATGAAGCGTTCAGTATTGACAGATCGCTTAGGAATGCATCCTGCAATTGACTCGATTAGATATCCTTGGTACGACTGTATGCATATTTGGCCTAGCAAATTTCCTACGCGGCCTTACTCATTGATGGGCGAAGTCAGTGGTCCTAGCCTCTCAAACAAGCCCCCGTAGCAATTTGCTGACGCTGGTTGGACAACGACCTCTTAGTTTGTACCATGAGAGAACCAGAAACCCTGCATGTTTTATAGTGTACACCTATTCAGTGCGCTATATGCATCCTCATAAGTAGTACGAATATTACGCAATGCATATAAAAGCGTAACCCACAAAAAATAGTTTCCAATGCAATGTCTTATTGCTTTAATGTCGACGAAAGTCTTTCAAATAAGATTTTTAAAGTTCAGCTATGTGGTTTTGCACCCTGGACAAATTATTACATTCTCGTGAACACATAAGGGCTGTGTAGTTTTTGGCGTCGCTACGGTATGGAACGACGCCTAATATTCAGCCGTAATGGGTGTGCTTACCGGTTGGCTTTGTATGCTCCATTCACACTCAACAAAATGAATATCTCTGAGTGCTCCAACTTCATCTATTTTGGTCGAGAAGTTTATCAAAGAAATAGTTCCAGAGTTGAGTAGGAGGAAGCGTGTTGCTTAGGAAATATTCAGGAACATGAAGGATGTGGTAAAGAAAACAAGCGACACTCGGCTCCATGCCCTTCTTTTCGACTCTAATATTTTTCTTTCCTTAACGTATGCGTCAGAACCCTGGTCGCTACGTAACAAGGATAGAGATAATGTTAGAATGTGCAGTCGAAAGGACGATGCTAGAAAAATTTCGTGTAACGCGATTTTGTATCATGGTGTGTCAAACGCATAGCAGCAGGCCTACCGACTGGTTGGTCAGTGCTCCTCAAAAAGACCCTAGAATAAAGATATGATGCTACATGAGTCCCTATATTGAGAAGAACTCACAGGAGTATTTTTTCACACGACAAGGAGAAATGGAAGATGTACTGGTGCCCGCTCGAAATACTCAACGATCTACAGTGAGACAAGTGAAGCAGGAGATAGAGGCGTGTTAGAATTGTAGGAAAAGAGTTCTATACCTTAGAACAATCGGAATGAAAGTGACTTCTATATAATTTATTCCGGCTAGTCGATGCAGCGTGTACGATTGTATAGTAGGCATACCGTCCGTTGTTATGTAGTAAAAATACCACGGGATGTTGTAAACTTTAAAGCATAAAACACTTTTGGGACAATTTACTTCAAATGAAGGGTTGTAAAGATAGATTCCACCCAAGGGATTCTAACTTTAGGAAAAATATTTCACGCATGCGGTGAAATGCTTTTTCATTATTTCCTGAAATCTTTTACATACCGCTGCTGTTCAACCGATGCGTCTGTCGCTGTGCTCCTCGCAGTAAGTAAATCTCATACGCGCTCCACGTATGTAATGTTGGCTGATGTTTTCCAAGGCGATGCTGAGGATTAATGACATTGTTTTATCATATCAAAATATAGTTGACGTACTTGATGACACTCAAGTTTTAGATGAAATAGATGTAACATATCTCTATAAAACCTATCGACAATGTTTCTGCGCAGAACTGTAGCATCTACGAAACTGTCCCAAGATTTTGGGAAGGCTGTACTTAACCAGTTCTCAGTGGCATTCATTAAGAAAAAGTCCAAGACCCTCAAGCAACCTCCGAACCTATGTGCAAATCCGAAGAACTTTGTGGATGATGAACGATAAGAAATGACTCAAGTGCAACATTTGCTGTGATCCGTGTAATATGTGAGGCGACCCATATAATAAAACGGCAAATAAATGAATAAACAAATAAGTGAAAATGTTAGAGAAGGCAGATATTAACCATTCATCTATGCGTCACTGCTGCATTGTTGAAGAGCAAGCCTTCAACGCTCATTTGTCGAGCCTTGCAATAAAATGTGTTCGATGTTTATCTTAGGTCCTACACACGAATGAGGTGTCGCGGAATTTTTCTAAACGAATCGTCGTTCAACTCTATTGCGCGGATCCCAGAATTTGTCGCATGATTGGCATCCTCGCGTACTTCATCCAGAAAGCCTCCCAATTTATTACGTGCGACTCTGGCTGCTGCATTAGGGTTTTCCTTTCATCACAAATGTTGTTGAATACTGGCGAAGTCGATTCTATCTGGAATCGTTAGATAGTCGGGCTTGAACGTCTTCATTTGAAATACAGAGAGTGAAGTTATCCGAAACTAGCTCGGCACCAATTTCACGATCCCGGAGAGATGAGGGACCTGGTAAGTCCAGAAAGGCATCGAACCGGCATTGTTCTCGCGATCAGCGCCATCACTACCACTTTGGTACCGATTGCTGAAGAAGAAACTGGAAAACAGAATAAAATAAAAATGAGTAGTTCATCAGTTGCTCGTTTCTTATGTTCTAAGAAAAAAATGTCACTCTGCAGGCCTCGTAGGTGGAGCGTGGGTGGAAGCTCCACGCTTTTCCGCTAATGGAAAGGTGATCGTGTGGGATGCAATGTTCGCACCAGGTCGCCCATTTTCCATCGACATGGATGGATTCGCACTCAATATAAAAGAGTTATTCAGAGCAAAGAAGCAAGTTTTTTCTCGTGCCTCCTTTAAAATTATGCCTTTAAAACTAGTGTTTATAACAAAGGAATTCATAGGAAATGTAATAGTGCTATTTTATGCACTGGGAAAAGCCTACGTAGTTCTTGCCAGCCTATAAGTGGACTAAAATTCTTTTCTAATATTGGGATAAAATTTGTTTGTAGACAGTTATTAGAGAAATTGGTTCACAACACTTGTAATCACTAACTGCTAGGACCTCAGAAATGTCTAGGAGCTGTTGCTATGAATTTCAATGCGTCGTTCAATACACAATGTGTCCGTACCTACAAATAAGGACCCGAATCATGCTTTTTATGGCAGTTCGGATTCACAAAGGAGAATCTGGAGGCTTTTGGGTATAAGGACTTTCTTAAAGAGGTGTTAGTTTGGCACACGAAGACGTCCAAATCAAAGGTGACCGGACCAAAACGTGGCTACACGATGCTGATGGTGGTTATAATGATAATGTCCGGTGGTAGCAACTTGTATTTCTTCCGGACATACATCATTGCGCACACCGTGCAGCAGTCGGTGTTTTTATAAGCTAGCACAAAGCGTAGTAATATTTCGAAACCGACTTTCCTTGAACCTCGGTATCAATAATCAATATGTTTTTCCGAAAAAACAAGCATGGACCATCGACTCGGATCATCGGCTCTGAGGAAGACGAAGACGTCGAAACGTTAGCCGGAAATGAATAAATATCATTGTCAACCTCGTGTCAGCTCATCAAAGAAAGAATACATATTGATTATTGGTACTGAGGTTCAAGGAAAGTCGGTTTCGAAACAAGAAGGTACGTAGCACGTTCAGTGATTTACAAAATGAGAAACTATTAGGCCGTCAATTATTGACGAGAGTGGAGTTTGTAGTAAGGCTTTTTCAACTAGGTATTCGGACAGCGGAAAAACATCTTGAAGACGCTTTCCATTACCGCACATGGGTCGAAAAAGTATTTTAAAGACAATACTGGTAATTGGACGCGGAATGGGGAAAGTGGCAAATGCTACAGACTGAAAGCCATCGGTTATTCAGCGTAAGCGTAAGAACGTGTAGACCATTCTGCAGTCGTGCAAAAGAACATCTAGCTGTTAAATCTAACGTCAAACCAACTACAGTCCGATGTCCGCACACGACACAAAGAGATAACAGCGAGGATTTTGAAGTAAAAGCTACCATCCTCACACAGAAATCCGAGAAAACACTGCGGAAAGCTCTTGAAGCGTTTTGCTTCAATTCCAAATATTCAGAGTTCAAACTCAAGGAGGAATGTCCTAAGCATTATCGTGGAGAGTTATTCTTTGCTTTCTTTTGACCAATGAGGCGAGAAAAAGTTGAAGCTTCCAATGGATTTATCGATTTGGTGGACGTAATTACCTCCCTAAGGTCGTTTGCAGCACACATAGGATCTCTTAATAACTCGAAAGACCGACTTTCTATAAATCTCGGCATAGATAGTTGATATACTTATTAATGTGACCTTATAAACTGATCTTCTTAAGCTGACTCGAGGTTGGCACAGGTCTTCGTTGTTGTTGCCGTTGTTTTAATGTTATTGATCGATGGCTGACCTTCCGGCGACTTCGTCTTCCTCAGAGCCATGGTGTTACGTGCGGTGCAAATAAATAAATATATCAATTATCTATTCCAAATATTCAGAATTTAAACACATGGAGGAACGTTCGGCGCTTTATCGTGGAGCGTTATTGCTTGCATCCTTTGACCAATGGAAGGCGAAAAGGTTAAAGCTTCCACTGGATTTTACCGACTTGGTGGACATAATTATCCCCTGTAATTGTTTCATCAGGATACGTGATGCGCAGTGGTCGAAGACCGTTTGCAACGCGCATGGGATCGATCCCCATCTGTCAGGCTCACCAGGTCCTTCATCCTTCCGGGGTCGGTAAATTGGTACCAGCTTCCTCTGGAAGGAAAGTAGCACTGGTGCGATACATCTAGGCCATCGCCAATCATTGTAAAGGATAGGTAAGTCCAGTTCCGATATTCTTGTGCTGCCCGATTCCATAGTAGAAACTTTGCAAAAAGTCGTTGCTATTAATATGCTGCTGAGTCAAGCCAGTGGCCTCTTTGAACTGCAGACGTTTGTGAATGTGTTACGTGGGTTTGCTATGAGAATGAACTGCTAATGGTCACAAAAGATCTTGCTGATGTGAGCTGTTTTGTAATGCCTCGCAGCTGTAGTAGAGGTTTAGCGGCAGGAATATTGAAACAGCCTGTGGCACGGAAATGCACGGTAGCAGTGAAGCAAAATATATTTTAGCAACTACGGTTATGTTGAAATATTTGTAAAATTCGTACTTCGGACCAGTTTCGAACACACGACTGCTGCTTCCCGGTGGACTCAGGTGTTACTTACTACGCCACTGAGGGCTTTGCTATGCCTTTCTGTCAAATAGTTTTTTGGCGTAACGGCTCAGCGAAAAATTTTCTATGTAGCATAAACCGGCATTAAACGATTACGCAACGTTCATGCGAATTCGGTTGAGTACTGGTGGAGACCGTTCGTTACTACGTGAAGGTTGTTGTATTCAGGAATGATCACCTGGGTATCACTGATAAATGTGAGCTCGGAGTTTAGGCGTAGAACTCTATCGATCTCAAAGAACTTGATATATTTTCAACGTGTTTTTTTAAGTATTCAAATTAATGGAATTTAAGAAAATGAAGCTTCACTGGCAAATTGGGGCGACGCGCGGCTTGAAGAACTCGAATGGGTACGTCACGAGTTCGATTATCTGTGACATTCTGTTGTTGAAGTCGTATTCAGTCGAAGGTGTTAAGGTTCACTCCGTATCAAGTCATCCAGGTGCCATGAAACGAATCAATGAGAGCTTTCTGGAGCTCGAACAACAGGATAAGTTTCTCTTTTCCTCTTACGCTTCTTTATGCTTTCTCAGAATGCTTTTACTATCGCCTTTCTCTAGAACTGTTCTCTTTCGCCTCTCATTATATTTATTTTCTTTCTTAGCCGATTTCATTAAATACTGTGTTGCAGTTTAGCTGCACATTGCTAGAATACGGCTGTCTGTAATACTCAGTGCTGCTGTCCCCCTAGACAAGTCTGGTACCAATTTGCCGACCCCGGAGCGATGGACGGATTGGTGCGCCATGGACGCGCGCGTCGACTCCACGTGTGTGTGTGTGTGGTGTGGTGTGTGATGTGTGTATGTGTATATCCTCCAACGATACTTAACGAAGTCGAATGCAATGCGAATCACTCGTCGGTTGATCTACGCCAAGAGCTTTATCATCATATCCTTTTTACAGACAGTCGTATCCTAGCAGTGTGCAGCTAAACTAAAACACAGTTATTAATTAAATCGGCAAACAAGGAAAATAAATATAAGGAGAGGGGAAAAGAACAGCTAAAGAGAAAGCCGAGAGTGAAAGCTCTCTAAAAAAGCATAAGGAATTATGAAAGCAAAAGAGAAACGCACCTGTTGTTTGAGCTGCAGAAAGCTCTAATTAATTCGCTTCGTGACACCTGGACGACTTGACACGCATTCAACCTTAACTCCTTCGATTGAATAGACTTCAGCAACTGAATATTATAGGTAATCGAACTGGCAACATACCTACTCGGGTTCTCCAAGCAGTTCGTTCGTTGTCACAATTTGTCAGTGAAGCTTCATTTTCTAAAATTCTATTAAGTTGAACACTTAAAAAAGCACGTTGAAAACATATCATGTTCGTTGAGATCAGAAGAATTCTCCCCTTCAACTACGAGCTTACATGTATCAGTTAACCCAGATGATCGTCCTTATATACAACATCCTTCACATAACATCGAATGCTGTTCATCAGTTCTCAATCAAACTCGCGTAAACGTTGCGTACTAACTAAATTGTCGTTCAATGCCGATTTGTGCTCCTCAAATAATTCCCGTTGAAGGGTGATTTTTGAACAGTTACGGTAAGCAACTTTTTGAGAGGAAGGCATACCATCGGCAGTGCCTCAGTGGCACGGTGGGTAACACCTGAGTCCTGCGGAGGAGGTAGCCGAGTGTTCGAATCGCGCCTGAGGTATGAATTTTACAAATATCTAATCATAATCGTGGCTGTTACAATACATTTTGCTACATTGTTTCCATATATCTCTACTTCACTCGCTGTTGGAATGTATCTACCGTTGAACAGCTACTGCAGTTGTGAAACATTACAAAGACAGCTCACATCGGCAGGCTCTTTTCTGACCGTTGTTGATAACCGACAAAAGCATTCTTATAACAAACCCATCTAACACATTTATAAACGTCTGCGCTAGTTGAAAGAGGCTACTAGATTGATCCGATGACATATTAATAGCATCGTCCTTTTCTGAAGTTTCTGATATGGAATTGAGCAATGCAAGAAAATCATACTCTCTGAAGGAAATACTAATACGTGACAAACAAACCTTCATTCATGTCTATTTTCTACGATTTGCTGCTAACCTTGGTCTGTTGAAAACAGCGAAACCGTCTACATTTCGAGCAATATCTCGATTGAGGCAAAATAACACAAAGACACTGAGTAGGCCAGCTGAAGGAAGACCGCGTACAACCGCTTGCTCATGAAACTAGAGAATAATTTTCTATCAGAGATGGTGCTTACAACTACCTCATATGTAGGTGGTACTCTCCGGTTTAAAACACGAGTTCAATTATGCTCCTTTCTGGCACCACACCTTTTTCCAAGTCGTAAATGATTGGATCGCCTGATCAATTTGTAACGTTGGTTTCGACGTTTCCTCCCAAATATCAACGCTTTTCTTTTTCAAATTTCTCCATTCTTCTCATGCTTCATTCAGTCTACAACATGGTGTCTACAACATTTTGCCTTACGAATTTGCTTAATCGTTATCCGGCTTAAGCTACCTTCCCAAAAACCAGTCGATCATGACAAATAGAAATTTACATGTCCCAAATCCAGTGAACTTTGAAAGCTATTAAAAAGCTAACACAGCTTTCCGAACATGGCTCAAAATGGACTACGCGAAACTTACTTGATTTGAAAAACATTGGCTCCTGAAATCGTCTGAGAGATACAAGAATCGCAAGAAGTACTGTCGGTAGAAGCAATTCAAATAGAGTCAGTAACTTGAAAACTTCACAACAAATCAATATGCTTATAGTTTAAAAGTCAATATTTTCTACCGGAAAGAGGAACAGAAGTGCCCAAAGAAGAGTTTGATCAATGGATTGGCAACGCTAACTGAGCCATTTACGTCTTTGTTTTTTGTGAAAATCATTCGATGACGTCTTTGGGCCAGCACAGCTAATCACGAAAGTGAAAATAATTGTGTTCAATAAGTAGACTCAGGTGTTCACAAAATTCATTCATGTGGCCATCGAACTGTATCAGCAGTAACATGATCTTAGGTGATAGCGAAATATCTAGGACAAATAGTGTACAGAGCTTCTTAGGGCATTCTTACGAGCTGCCTTTTTGAGCCGACGCTGGCCTGATGACAGTTTCCGATATTATTGCTGTTGTTGCTGTGGTTTGATGGATAAGGTTTCGGCAACTTTGCCCCGAACCTGCACGTATTTTTTGTGCATCGATATCCGTATAAGTCAATATCGAACTATCTATTGTATCAGTGGACTGTGGGACTACCCGTGTGTTGTTCACGTGAGATGAACTGTGATGCCCAACCAAGTCAAAAAGTCATTTTGAAATAAGGAGCAAGGTCACGTTTG